TAGATAGATGATAGATAGATGATAGATAGATAGATAGATGGATAGATGGATAGATAGATGATAGATAGATAGATAGATGGATAGATAGATGGATAGATGGATAGATAGATGATAGATAGATGATGGATAGATGGATAAATAGATAGATGATAGATAGATGATAGATAGATGGATAGATGGATAGATGGATAAATAGATAGATGGTAGATAGATAGATGATAGATAGATAGATGGATAGATGGATAGATAGATGATAGATAGATAGATAGATGGATAGATGGATAGATAGATAGATGGATAGATAGATGGATAGATGGATAGATGGATAGATGGATAGATAGATGATAGATAGATAGATGATAGATAGATAGATGGATAGATAGATGGATAGATGGATAGATAGATGATAGATAGATACTAGGGATGTGAATCTTAGAGCAACTCATGATTTGATTCGATTCCGATTCTCGTGGTGCCGATTCGATTCAGATTTGATTCTAAATTTAAATCGATTCACAATCAGCATTAACAAAGAGTGTCAGCTCCAGGATGAACTACTTTGTTGTACAAGTTAGTTAAAGCTATGGGACATTTTTATTTGGTCATGCTCCAAAAATGCAAATTTTCAAAGTAAACTAAAGTGATTCTGAAACTGTAAACAGAAATAATCTTTTGACCAAAAGGTAACATTTATTTTAGTTTACCTTGTAAAATATAACTAATCTGTAGTTACCTAACAGTAGCTTTGAAAGTAATATGGTCAAATACCTTTCAAGTATGTGTATAAACAAGTTACATGAGTAATCCTGAGTACTCATTTATCAACTTAGAAAATAAATATGAGAATATCTCAAATTTCTGAGTATGGAAAAAATTACATTCAAGTGCCCTCTTATCAGCAGATTCAAACATAAATCATCTCAATTAATGGGACCACAAAAGTAAACGGAGTACTGACTCTCCTAACAATGATCAAAAAAGTGCATCTCAAACCTGTAACGTGCCAAATATTTGAGTTCTTGGAATCGATTCTGAACCTTTGTGAATCGATTCTGAACTTTATAAATAAGAATCCCGATTCAGACTTGAATCGATTTTTTTTTCAGCACCTCTAATAGATAGATAGATAGATAGATAGATAGATAGATAGATAGATAGATAGATAGATAGAAGAAACGCATTTCTTGCACTTTAAAAATCATCATCTAACCTTTAAACCAACCTGCTGTTGTGGTTTGTAGCTTTTATAAGAGAATATGAAACTTTGGAAATGTAATAATTTAGACAGAGAAGCTTCTCTCTTTGGTCTTTTTGGGTTTTGATGCTAAAACAAAGGTTAGGTTCAGAGGTTAAAGGTTAAAGGTTTGTCTCTGAATCTCTGGAGACACCAGGTGGAGAGTGTAGATGTGTGTGTGTTCCTGCATCTCCATGGATCTTTACACACACACACACACACACACACACACACACACACACACACACACACACACACACACACACACACACACACACACACACACACACACACACACACACACACACACACACACACACACACACACACACACACACACACTGCACCCTGGAGGTGCTAACAGTGATAAGTTACAGCAGCAGCTTCAGGTGTTAAGAGTCAATAAAAGCTCATTAACTCAACAGGAGGGTCAGTAGCTCCGTCAACAACAATATACCTCCCACTTTGTCTGTGTGTGTGTGTGTGAGAGAGAGAGAGCGAGCGAGCTTCTGGATCAATGGATCTGCACGGTTCATTTCCTCTGACTCTACAAACACCAGGAGGCTGCAGCAGGGAAGACAGAATAATAACACACACAATTGTTTTTTAACTCATACAAATTATTGCACACATTCCTTCATCTACCCTTTGGTTTCAGCTCCATCACTTGTGTTTAACTCCAGACGTTTGCTTTAGGACCTGCGTTGTTTATACAGCAGATAAAGTCGGTGATTCTTGGAGAATAAACGGTCTAGTGATGGCCCGTCCATCAGACGCTGCCTGACTTCTTCTACATGTAAAATTATTGAACACGTGATAAACACAGGATTAGATTGAAAACAATGGAAATTTTGTCTTTCTTTTTTTTAATTTATTTATTATTTATATTTGATTATTTTTGTTTTAGGCCTTAATGATGAAAATAAATAAAACATGTATTTAAAAAGCCTCTAACAAAATTCACGTGTATTTTAGTGACTGCTTTTGTAAATCCAGGTCACGAGGACAGCAGGAAGTCCAGATCTCTCTCTCTCTCTCTCTCTGTCTCTCTCTCTCTCTCTCTCTCTCTCTCTCTCTCTCTCTCTCTCTGCCTCTCTGTCTGTCTCTCCCTCTCTCTCTCTCTCTCTCTCTCTCTCTGTCTGTCTCTCCCTCTCTCTCTCTCTCTCTCTCTCTCTCTCTCTCTCTCTCTCTGTCTCTCTCTCTCTCTCTCTCCCCTGCTCCACCAGCTTCCTGCTGGGAGGCATTCCCGGGCGATCTTCCATGTAGCCTTTAAACTTCTGCAGGTCAGTTTAGCCATGCTCCATTGTAGCCTTAGCAGGTCTCCCATTGGCCCGACCAGTTTTGTGTCTTACCAATCACAGTGCTCTATGTTTGTTGGGTGGGCTTAACTCTAGAGCTGCAACAGAGGAAAACTACAAAGATGGTGTCAGATCAGTCGAGGACTTTGGCATCAACTTTGGACAATTTAGACTTGTAATTTTTTTTAGATGAGCAGATAGAGGTACTTTTGGAAAACAAATGACTTACTTTTTCTTCTTCGATGGTGTATGGCGGACTTCCCCGTTGACTTGATGAATTTGCCTCCTCGTTTGTTGCTCTGATTGGTCCCAGTGCTGTCCAATTACGTTCAGGGACGGTTTGAAAGACAACCATAGACTCCGCCTCCTGACTGGAAAGACATTCCAGAAGCGCCTCTGTTCCTTATTCAATAAAAAAAAAAGTCCAATTTGTTTACATGGAGGGGGCGGGGCTTAAGGTTATGGTGTTCTGGTGTCCGCTGGACTCAGGGTCTTTGTGGTTGGCCACAGAGCGATGTGAACGGGTCTCAAGAATTAGTAACGACTGTGAAAATGATTTCACACGTCTTGTGGTCAAACGAGCTCCGAAACCTGGAACTCCCTTTAAGATTTTGGTCCGAGGAGGTTTAGTTTCTGTCACGCGGACGGAGAACCTAATTAACTTATCCCAGATCGTTTCTCTGCTCTTGGTTTTGTGGTTTTCTTTGATTTCTGTCTGAGATGTTTGTTTTTGTTACCGATTCCCTCGTTCCTCTACCTCCTCGTTGCTCTTCTTGTTTTAGGTGTCTTCACTTTAATTTTCACACAGCTGTCCTCCCCCTGCTCTGCCTTTACGTGACATCTTCACCGCGGCTTTATTGCTTTACATAACGCAGACCAACTAAACGGCTTTTCATGCATCAATTTTTAATGCAACTCGCTTGTGAGCTCTCCTTAACAAACTTTTAGGCTGAATAATGCACCAAGCACCGGCTGACGGGCTGTGAACACTGCTTGTGTGTGTGTGTGTGTACGTGCGTGCGTGCGTGTATGCATTTCTGCAGAAACACGTTTGATCCATCTCCTGAAGGTCTGCTGTTCTGCACATGATGGCTCTGTTCCCCTTGGAGTGGGGTTTTAGGGTTAAGTGCCTTGCTAAAGGGCACATGGTAGTGATACCTCGGCATATGGATTGGCCAGCAGCTGTTTCCCCCAGCTGTGATCTATACTTTGTACCAGCATTGAAATATGTCAACTCATTGTAAACCAATGCGCTCTGCCTGCTGTGTACACTCAGAAACTATATGGTGGTCAGAGCGCTCCAGGGTGGGAACAGGAACAAAAAATGTTGCCTGTTTGGTTAAAGTTTTCCTTTTTGTCAGAGTTTTGGGTTTAATTTCTTCTTTTAGTTTAGATTCACTCATTGGTTCTTGCTTTTGGTCTTTATGGCCCTGTTACTCACACCTGCCTCTCCTGTAGTCACTCACCTGCTCTCACTCAGAAATCAACCATCACAGTATATGTAGTCCTCAGCTTCCTGTTTCCGGTCTTGTTTTCCATTCCCAGAAGTGCCTGTATCCTGTACTTTATTGGACCTGAGTTTCCTACTGTGCCCCCTAGTGGAAAATTCCAGTACTATGTGCAGTGCAGCACAAAGCCTGTTTCCTGTGTCAACACAAGGGCAAAAAGCCAGTATATTCCCAGTCCTAGGCTCACTGTAATGATGTCCTACAAGGGAAAGACTGGTTTACCCTGCCTACTTAACCAGGACATGAATATTAAATGAACTACGTGCTGATTGGCCAGTTTACCCTGATGACCCTATGACTACCTGTAGCTAGAACATTTGTGTAAAGTATCCCGATAACTCAACAGGCAAACTATGGATCTATCTGGCATTCATTCAACGTCTGGATATTCCCGGTACGTCCTGGAATGTGAGTGCTGTTCTTTTTCTTCATTTTCCTCTCATCAAACAATAATGTTAGCAGTGGTTAGCGCTTGTTTGGGCATTAGCTTGACCAAATGCTAGCAGGAGCTGTGGCTAGTGTTAGCAAAAGCCTGGGCTAGCATTGGTTTAGGCTAGCGTTAGCGGTAGAGGCCAGTGTTGTGCTGCGGTTAGCATTACCACCACCAATATTTAAATGTTGCTGACATTGAAGCGGGTTGGACATTCAAATGTAAGGTTGTGTGTCTAAGCTAATGACGCAATAAACCCGCTTTTTTCAGACGTAAACGTTTATCCGTCTCTGTTACAACACGACTAGTTCACACAGGAAAGCAGACACCCCAAGCTGCTCTTATTCAACAACAAAGTAAATGTGGTTTTAAATTCTAGAACCTCTCCAGAATTCTATTTACTTGATTTTTTTGGGCCAAGCAGAAACCAAACAGTGACGTTATTTCTTTACCGAACTCACCCTATTTGCTAATTCATGCTAGCAGCACGATTTTTTCCACGTGCAAGTTTTTGCGTCTATGAGGTTAATCTCTGTTGATAATAAGTTTCCCCTCATAAATAGCACACATATGGTTCATAGATATGTTTTAAATTATTCTCTAACACTTTAAAATCATTAATAAGTATTTATTATGAATTAATTGAGGCTAAGAAAGAGAAAACTGACCAGTGTCACGCTAAATAAGGAACCAAATATTTTCTCACTTTGTTGCACTTAATTAAAGCCTATTAAACGCTTATTATTTTTATGAAGGATGCATTAATAATAACTATAAACCCCAGCCTTATTGTAAAGTGGTACCAATAGTTCTTTGAGTTTAATTGTTGTTCTATTTCGTCTAGTCTTAGCCCTTAAGCGAGCTGCTATTGGAAGGATGATCTCCGCATCAGCCAATCATGAAGAGCTTAAATGTACGCCCACCAATAGTGGGCCCCCTCGTGGTATATAACCGCAGTGACCCCACTGCTCGCCTCCTTTTTCTCTTCATGCCAAGCTGAGAGCTTCTTAAAGAGCAAATTTATCCAGAAAGAGCAAGATTATCCGAGAAGACTTACCAGCCATGTCCAGCGACGCCAGACCCTGCCCGACCTGCCAGTCGGGCTCCATTTCCAGCGGAGACCTGCACGCCAAGTGTGAGGTCTGTCTCGGGGCTCACCACGCTGGCCTGGCCTTGACCCCGCAGGCCTCGTGCCCGTTCTGTGCCGCTCTGCCCGTGGCAGAGAAGATTCGCCGGGTCGAGTACTTCACTCCCGCCGCCGACGAAGAATTTCCGGTGGCTGACTCGTACCCGCTGGACAAGGCGTTGGATTTCTTCGACGCCGGTCAGGAGCCGGCTGGCTTCAACCGGCTGGATGACGTCACCGACAGCGAGAACTACGACGAGGCGGCATCCCTCCTAGACATAACGGAGGTCGATGAGCTCCGCCCAGCGGGTCCTTCTGTCCCAGTGGCTTCTCGCTCCTCCCTGCCAGCAGTAAGAGCACTGCTCCAGGAGCTGCCCGCCATCATTTCTGCGGCAGCAGCCCACAAGGGGCTAGCTGTGCCAGAACCAGCCCCGCCTGAAGCGGATGATTTGGCGGGAATCTTCGGGGAAACTCAGACACGCTGTCTAGACCCTATTTGGCCGCGCTTTCCCGCTGCTATGAGCTGCTGGTCTGCCGCCTTCTCCGAGCCTGCCAAGCTCAAGGCGCCAGTCTCCACCTATGCGCCCATCACCAAGGTCGAGGGGTTTTCCAACCAAGGCTGGCCGTCCGTTCCTCCGCTAGAGCCGGACTTGGTTCACCCTCGGTCAGCCTTGCACTCCGGCCGTTCTGCCAGAGGATGGGACGAACGGCGCGGAAGCTTCAAACGCCCAGCTGCACCGTCCGCTCCACGGAGCCGGCCTCCCGCTTCGGCTCCGCATCAGCGGGACCAGCGAGATGGCGGGCAACGGTTCCGGCGGGGCCAGCAGACGCCGTCTTGGCAGTCCCAGGTGCACGAGCCTCGCCGAAAACAGCCACGGAAGTGACTCTTTGGGGGGAATGTGTGTGTACATGATTGTAATGATGTTGATGTTGGTTTTGAAATAAAACCCAAAACATGTCACTCAAAGAGCACAATCCTACAGTCCTCCGCAGAATCCTCTGCCGAGTTCTCACACATATTCCCCACACCAAGCACTGCTGCACGCATACATGTTCCTGCAGGCAGTCATAATATACGGCCAACCGTAAGGGTGCGCTCCATTTGCGCTCCGGCCCCAGCATCCGGCCGGGTCCAACTCTCCCAGCTCTCACTACATCGTCGGGTGGGGCGAGATGTCAGGTCGCTGTCTCGACCACGCGCGGCGGCACAGTGCGCGGCTTCATCCGCGGGCACTCTGTCGCCCCCGTGCACAGGCTCGGCTCCCACTCGTCCTTCACTCTCGGACTCCACGCTCCGCGGTGCGGACCAGCCTGTTCCAGCTGTTTCGCACTCGCCCTTTCGAGCGCAGCCCTCCATGGGTCGCCCCCAGTTCTCTGGTACGGGCGACGGCGGTAAGGGCGCATGCACAACCCTCAGTCGTTGCTCACGCGACCGCGCACACGCGTCCACTGTCGGAACGCGCGCACGAGTGGCGCCGCCTTTGTATCATGAGCAAATGGATTTCGGACACCATTCATTGCGGTCACACACTTCATTTTCAGGTCACTCCACCTCCCTTCAACGGGATCGTGGAGACGACGTTCACATCGCAAGTACAGTCTCAGGCCCTAGAGCTGGAGTTGCGGGAACTTCTGTCCAAGGACGCTATTTCACGAGTCCCTCGCGGACAAGAGCTCTCGGGCTTCTACTCCCGCTACTTCATAGTACCGAAGAAGTCGGGAGGAATGAGACCGATTCTCGACCTGTCCCTGTTCAACTGTTCCATAGCAGTAATGCATTTCCGCATGTTAATGATGAGACAAGTCCTGGAATATGTGCGCCCCGGGGATTGGTTCACGTCAATCGACCTGAAAGACGCATACTTCCACATACCAGTAATTCCAAATCACCGGAAGTTTCTGCGTTTTTCGTTCAAGGGAGTTCAATATCAGTTCAATCGCCTCCCTTTCGGCTACTCGCTAGCCCCGCGCACCTTCTCCAAATGTCTGGAGACCGCGCTGCAGCCACTGCGCACGGAGGGAATGAGGGTTTTATTTTACTTGGACGATCTTCTCCTGTGCGCTCGGTCCAAGGACGAGGCGTCACGGCAAACCAGGAGGTTGACAGAGCATCTGTCGACCCTGGGGTTTTCTATAAACTGGGAAAAGAGCTCCGTTCTTCCATCCCAGTCGATTGTGTATCTCGGGGTGGAGTTGGACGCCTCCCTAATGAGAGCACGTTTGTCGCCTGCAAGAGCGGCAGATCTCTCCACGGTGATCTCCCGTGTACAACCCCGCAAGATCGTGAGAGCCCTGTTAGTCATGAAACTCCTGGGCATGATGTCCGCAGCCCATTCGGTGGTGCCGCTAGGCTTGCTGCACACGAGGCGCTTGCAACGTTGGTTCACCCGCCTCCGGGTATACCCGATACGTCAGAAGAGACGTATGTTGAGGATTCCCCCTTCAGTGGGCGGGGACCTCGCTCACTGGGGGAACTCCTGCATCCTCTCACGCGGGGTTCCCATCGGACGTCCTGCGTCACACGTATCTGTGTTTACGGATGCGTCACTGTCGGGGTGGGGGGGCACGTGCTTGTCCCATACGGTGGCAGATCGTTGGCCCTCCCACACGCACGAGCACATAAATGTGTTGGAGCTTATGACAGTGAGGAATGTGATCAGACACTTTGCTGCCCTTCTCGAGGGCCGTCATGTCGAAGTTCACACAGACAACCAGGTGGCGGCAGCCTACATAAATCGCCAAGGGGGAGTTCGATCCCTCCCTCTGTTGCGTGTCGCCACAGATTTACTGTGTTGGACACATGTCCACCTGCTGTCCATCAGAGCCATCTACATTCCGGGGGTCCTGAATGTAGCGGCAGACATCCTGTCGAGAGGGGGACCCCGCGACTCCGACTGGCGTCTGCATCCCGCACTGATATCACAGATCTGGATCAGGTTCGGGGAACCGTCTGTGGATCTGTTTGCGGCTCGCGAAAACGCTCAGTGTCGCCTGTGGTTTTCCCTGAGTCCCCGGGACGGACCTCCGCTCGGGGCGGACGCCTTCTCACACCAGCCCTGGCCTCGAGCGCTCCTTTATGCGTTTCCGCCAGTCCCTCTGATTCCCCGTCTCTTAGACCGAATTCGGTCGGAACGGCTCTCGGTGATTCTGGTGGCTCCCAGGCGCTTGTCCGCGTCATGGTTTCCGGACCTGCAAGCGCTAGTGTCCGGCTCCCCGTGGAGGGCGGACGCCCTTCTCCAGGCGGATGGAATAATCAAACATCCTCCGGAAATAGGCCAACGGCTGTGGGTCTGGCCGCTGAGCGGTCACGCTTAGAGGCTTCTGGGCTGCCGCATGATGTGGTCGCCACGATTCAGAGTGCGCGGGCGCCCTCTACCATTGCGTCTTACGCTGCTAAATGGGCAGCTTTCCAGAAATGGTGCACAGAGCGGAATGTTCAAGCGCTCTCCTGCCAGCTGGCGGATGTCCTATCGTTTCTGCAGATACTGATGGACAGGGGCCTCGCCTTCAGCACTATTAAAACATATGCTGCAGCTATCTCATCCTGTCACCAAGGGTTTGGAGATAGATCTGTTTTCAATCATCCCCTCACAAAACGTTTTCTAAAAGGTGTCAGGAGGAACAGACCTGTGTCCCGCCCGCTTTTTCCCCAGTGGGATCTAACGGTGGTTCTGCACGGCTTATCCAAAGCCCCTTTTGAACCCTTGGACCAGGTCTCACTCAAGTTCCTGTCACTTAAAACTGCATTGCTGCTAGCGCTAGCATCAGTTAAGAGAGTGAGTGACCTGACCGCCCTTTCAGTGGCTCCCGCATGCCTCAGGATCCGGGAAGATGGCGGGTCTGCTGTTTTAT